CTGCCCCCTCTGTCACCCAGGATCCTGAACAAGTTCCTGGACAGTTATGAGGAGGATGTGCTGCCCTGGCATGAGTGTGTGGAGCCCTGTGTGTCCTTCCTGATCACCCACAGCAGCAGCTGGGAGGTGAGGGGGCCCCGGGACTCCCAGCAGGCAGGATGGCTGTGCTGGCTGTGCCTCAGGCAAGCAGGGCCCCGCGGGTGGCAGCCTGGCCTTGTGTCCGAGGTGCTGGGAGAGGTGGGGAGCGTCTGTCCTGGCCATGTCCGTGACCTGGTGGCCCTGTACCCAGTCTGGCTGTGCCTGGCCAGGCTCTGGTGGGGCTGGGATGAGGGGAATGGAGCTGCAGCTCCGGCTGCTGGGGGGCCCTGGGGAGTTGCCAGCAGTGCCCCACGTCTGCTCATGGCTGCATCTCAGTAGGTGCTGCAGGAGGTCGTGGGCTTCCTGCACCGCCTGGGCAGTGCCAGCAAGGACTGTGTGGTGGTGATGTGCCACGTGGGCACCCACGAGGCTCTGTGCAAAGCCCTGGAAAAGCACAGCACAGTCCTGGCGCTGGCACCGGCCCTGCTCAACCTGCTGACGGAGTGTGAGAAGTACGCCGGCCTCTACAAGAAGCTGATGAGCAGCATCTTGGCTGGCTGCATCCAGGTGGGCCTGGGGAGGCACAGCTGCCTGAGGATTTGGGTCTGGGGGCATCAGGCTGTGCCTGCTGCTGAGGGACGGCCTTGTGCTCTCTGGCTGGCACAGCCCTGCAGGGGCTGAGGGGAGCAGGACCTGGGGCCCCTGGTAAGAGCCTTGCCCCATCCCACAGCTGGTCCTGGGACAGATTGAGGAGCACCGCCGGAGCCAGCAGCCCATCAGCATCCCCTTCTTTGATGTCTTCCTGCACAACCTATGCCAAGGTGAGAGGAGGCAGGGAGAGTTGAGCCCAGGCTTGGTGGCTGGAAACTCCTTGTGCTCTGCCCACAGGCTCCAGCATGGAGGTGAAGGAGGACAAGTGCTGGGAGAAGGTGCAGGTCTCTTCCAACTCGCACCAGGCCAGCAAGCTCATGGACAGGAACCCCAGGACCTACTGGGAGTCGAACGGCAGCACCGGCTCCCACTTCATCACTGTGCACATGCAGTGTGGAGTGGTGATCAGGTGGGGCTGGGCCGGCAGGGCTGTGTGTGGAGGAGAGGGCTTTGGGGATCTGTGCCAGCCCTGCCACAGTGTCCCCGTCCTGGGGGCAGCGGGACTGACGGGCAGGGCGTGGTGCTGTCAGGGTTAGGGCAGGGAGGCGGGGATGGCCGGGCAGCCTCGTGTTTGCTGTGCTGCAGGGAGCTGAGCATGCTGGTGGCCAGCGAGGACTCCAGCTATATGCCATCGAGGGTCGTGGTGCTGGGTGGGGACAGCCCTGCCACCATCAGGACAGAGCTCAATGCGGTGAGTCCCCGTGGGAGTGGCGGGCTGGTCCTTGCCGTGCCCCAGGGAGGTGTGGCTGTGGTGTGAGGCCCTGGGAGGTGCCCTCGGGGAGGTGGGAATGGCAGGAACTGCACTGTGGGAGCCTTCTTGGGCTGCCTGTCACGCTGAGGGCTCATGCCTCCCTGCAGGTGACCATCCTGCCCTCGGACAGCAGAGTGATCCTGCTGGAGAACATGACCCGCTTCTGGCCCATCATCCAGATCCGCGTGAAGCGGTGCCAGCAGGTAGGGGAGCTGGGCCTGGGGCTGGGAGCGGGCAGTGTGGGGCGCTGGGGCTGTGCCCCAGGAACTGAGGGTCCCGCTGTCCTGCAGGGTGGCATCGACACACGCGTGCGTGGCATCGAGGTGCTGGGTCCCAAGCCCACCTTCTGGCCCATCTTCAGGGAGCAGCTGTGCCGGCGGACGTTCCTCTCCTGCACTGCTCGGGCTCATGCCTGGAGCCAGGAGATCTGCCAAGACCGGGGGCGGCTGCTGCAGCTCTTTGGCAGGTGAGTCGTGTCCTGGCTGTGCCATCGCATCCCTGGTGTCCCAGGGGGACATGGCTGGCAGCCTGTAGGGAACTGCGGGGCTGGGAAAGGAGCAGCTGGCTGTGTCACCTGGATGGGAGGGGCCCTTGCTCCTTCCTGGCCACCAGAGATCCTTCCTGGCCGGAGCCACCTTGGGGTCATCTGGGTTTAAGCTGGGCTACCCCCCTAGAGCAGGATGCCGGTCCCCCCAGGGCTGGCACGTCCTGACAGAGGTTGGCCAGGCACAGCAGGATCTCGTGGCCACAGGCACTGCACAGCCCCCATTTGGCAGGAGGGGCGAAAGCCCCAAGGGCCATTGGGGGCAGGCCCCGAGACAGCAAGGGGCTCTCCCTGGCTGCTGGGGGCTAGTGGGGCCAGCGAGCCATCGTGCCTTGACAAAGGGCAGAGCAGGGAGCCACCACTGTATTCTGCTTTCCCATGGGAGTTCTCCAGCCCTTGGCACCGTGTGCTGCCCGGTGTCTGTTGCAGACTGAACCGGGCGCTGCGGCACGAGCAGGGCTTTGCCAACCGCTTCCTTCCCGACAACGAGGCAGCCCAGGCACTGGGCAGGACGTTCTGGGAGGCCCTGGTGAACCCCTTGGTGCAGAGCATCACCAGCCCAGGTACCCTGCGCTCTCCGGGACCCACCTGTGCCGTGCCCCAGGCAGAGGCACCTGGCTCTGAGTCTGGTTGGCCTCGCAGACCCTGATGGTGTCAGTCCCCTGGGCTGGCTGCTGACTGAGTACCTGGAGAGCGTGGAGCTGTCCCGCCGTGCCACAGGACACAGGGCTGCCTTTGCTTCCTGCGTGCGGCGCCTGACCCAGCTCCTGGTGCACGTGGACCCCGGCGGCCCCGAGCCAGAGGAGACCAGAGCAGCTGGTGAGCCAGGGGCTGCTCCAGAGTGCCAGGCTGTGGCCCTGGGGCTCCTCTGGGGAGCATCCTATGGCACAGAGGCTCCTGAGCCGGGTCATGCTCAGGTCATGCTCATGCTTGTGGTCATGCCCCAGCAGGGCCGTGCCTCTCCAGTGTCCCCTCAGCCCTGCTGTGGCAGGTCAGTGTGTGGGGCCTGCTCATGGAGCTACACTGAGCCTGAGGTTGACCCTTGGCAGGTGGGAAGGAAAGGAAGAACAAGGAGGTGCCAGCCAGGACTGCAAAGGCGGTGGTGGAGAAGTCGAGAGGCCTGTGGGGAATTTCGCAGTGCTGGCGCGGTGTGGTGCAGCAGCAGGTAGAGCTTGGAGGGCTGACTGGGAGGGGTGTGGGACCTTCCCTGGGTGGTTGGAGCAGGGAGCGGGGTCTGGCAGTGCCCTGGGAGCATGGGGAGGGCAGAGGGCTGTACCTGGCCTCCACAGAGCCTGGAGCGATGTGGGGACAGCCCTGCTGTGCTTGTCACGCTGGCACGGCTCGAGTGCCAGCCAGGCCAGGAGACAGGTCTGGTGCCAGGCTGTTCCTTCCTGCTGGGCTGCTGCTGCGTGTCCACAGTGCCCGCACAGCCCCTGGGCAGCCCTCAGAGCTGCGCTCCCACCTCGGCAGCCCTGCAGCGGCAGCAGGGCCCCGAGTCCCGGGGAGCCAGGCAGTTGGTGTCGGCAGGGCAGGGCTGGGGATGTTCCAGGGGCACGTCCCGCTGCGGGCTCAGCCCTCGCGCTGCTCCCGCAGGTGCAGCGGTTCCTGGAGGCGGCGGGGCAGGCGCCGGACCTTGCGGAGCGCTACTGCCGGCTGTACCGGCGCCTGCGCGGGGCCACAGAGGAGCTCTTTGGGCAGCAGGCCGCCTTTGTGCTGGCCCTGGGCCAGGGCTTTGCCGGGGCTTTGCTGCAGCTCTCCTTCCTGACTGCGCTGCACGTGAGTCAAGGGAGCACAGCCCCGGTGCTGTGGCCCCGGGCAAGGGCTGGGGAGCTGCCCTGGCCCACGGCACTGGGGCAAGCTCTGGGTGGGTGGTGTCCTGTTCCCTCTGAGCCACAGAGCCCTGCCCCGGCACCCCGGATGGTGCCCAGCTCAGGTGCGTGGTGCTCATCCCAGGGTGGGCCCAGCCCTGGCACACTCCGGCCTTGGGCTGGTGCCTGGGCACCCTCGGTCCCTGGGAGTGCAAGAGTTTCCCAGCTGCTCCCTGCAGGGACATTCCCCCATCCCAGCCCTGTGGGCACCTGGTGAGTCCTGTCTGTAGCCAGCCCTGTCCCTTGCAGGTGAGTGAGCAGTTTGCCCGCTACCTTGACGTGCAGATCCAGGAGCTCCGCAGGGCTGCGGGCAGCACAGGGCCTCTGGAGCGGCTGCAGCAGTTCTTGGAGCCCTTTGTCGTCTTCAGTGGCCTGGAGTTTGCCCACACCTTTGAACACTTCTACAGGTGAGGCTGCTGTGTCTCCAGAACCAGGGGCCTGCTGCAGCGTGGCCTGGTGTGCTGGGGGAGCTTGGCCTGCTGTGGCAGTGGTGCTCCCACTTTGCTTTTATGGGATCATGGAGTGCAGAGGGCCTGCGGGTGCTGCCAGTGTGTGGAATCACATTCCCTGCTGGGGACAGGGAGGGGCCACGCGCCGTGGAATACGGTGGGCTCGGACCTGTGGCTGTCTCCTGGTGGGTGGCTGATGGCCACAGGGCTCGGGGCCAGCCCTGACTGAAGCTGGTGGCCGTGGCAGGCACTACCTGGGGGACCGGCTCCTGACACAAGGGCCGTCATGGCTGGAGGAAGGCATCGTGGAGCAGATCGGGCTGTGCTTCCCCAGCCGCTTTCCCCAAGATATGCTGAGCAACTTGGCCGAGTCGGAGGAGCTCCAGCGGCAGTTCCGCCTCTTCCAGCTGCAGGAGCAGGATAAGCGGCTGCTGGAGCTGGACACGGGCCTGGAGGAGGTGAGAGGGAAGGGGGCGTGGGCAGGCCGGAGGCCGCCGGCTTTCCTTGCGGGGATCCCGGAGCCTGACTTGAGCTGCCCTCGTGCCCCTGTGCCCAGGTGCTGGGAACAGCCACAGTGACAGACGTGCCAGAGGTGAAGGTGCTGGCCCTGTCCCCGCGCTGCTGGCCTGTTTCCCCGCTGTGTTACATGGATAACCCTGGGAGGTTTTTCCCAGCGGTGCTGAGCTCCCCACTGGATGAGTTTGCTGACTTCTGCTGGCAGAGTGAGTTCTGTGGCTGGGGGTGTGTGCCCAGACCCTCCAGGGCAGCTCAGCCACAAGTGGTGGTGGGCTGGGAGTGCCTGGCAGGGCTGGTCCCCGTCCCTGGCACTGACACTGTCCCTGGCAGGCCAGAGCCAGCTGGGCTGGGAGTGCACGAAGCCCCGTCGGCTGCAGTGGACGTGGCTGGGCCACGCCGAGCTGCAGTTTGGAGACTGCGTTCTGCACGTGTCCACGCTGCAGATGTACATCCTGCTGTGCTTCAACAGCGCCCAGGTAGGGGCTGGAGCCACGATGGGGCCAGGGAGGCAGGGGAGGCTGGAGCATGGCAGGGCTGTGTCCTCCCTTTCCTTCTGGTGGGGTCTCCAGCAGTGTTTGGGGCACAGGACCCCATTCTTAGGCAGGGCCCGTGGCCAGCGAGTCTTGGCCATTGCCCTCCCACCCTGTGCTGCAGGAGGTGGCTGTGGAGGCCCTGCTGCAGGCTACAGGGCTCCCTGCTGACCTGGTGCACCAAGCACTGACACCGCTGACCCACGGCCAGGGCATCCTGGTGGGGAGCTGCACGCCAGGGGGTGAGTGCGGGGCTGGGGCACCCAGGGGAGGGGCTGGCCTGAACCCCGAGGGGGTGCTGGGCTTAGGGGTACAGGAGCTTGTAGGGCTGGTGAAGGGGCTGGGTCCACGTGTTGGTGCTCAGGGCACGGGTTGTGTGTCAGGGTAGGGCCTGAGGCCAATGTAGGGCTGGGGGTGATGTGTGGGGTGTGGCTTGGGGCCATGGACGGGGCCTGGGTCAGCGTGGGTGGGTGGGTCTCAGGTCTGTGTATGGGCTTGGGCTGGGGCCAGGGGCCGTGTGCGTGGCTGTGGCTTGGAGCCACATGCTGGGGACAAGGCTGGGGTGGCCAGCGGTGCAGGCAGCTGCAGCAGGCCCAGCTTGGGTCCCCCAGCCCCACATGTGTCCTGGGGCTCCTTCAGGGCCCAGCTCGAGGCTTGGCTGAGCCGGGGTTGGGGGCTGGCTCCAGGTGCACTGCGGCTGAACCAGGCAGCCCTGGCCCAGAGCTCCGACCGCCAGCTGAGGCTGCTGCCCCAGCAGAGGTACCTGCGGACAGAGAGGGCCGAGGTGAGCGCCCTGGAAAGGAAGAGGAACGTCCTGTGCTGCCTCATCACCCGCATCCTCAAGGTGGAGAAGCAGCTGCACATCGACAACCTGGTGTTCAGGGTACGAGGGTGGTGTGGGCAGAGGGGGCACAGGGGCTGCGTGGGGCTGCAGCCACTGCAGTGGGGCTCCCTTGCTGCTGTAGGTGATCGATGCCTGTCAGAAGGGCGAGCTGGGCCCCGGGGTGCAGTTCCTGAGCTTCTGCTGCCACAGTGTGGACGTGCTGTCCTGCATCCTGCACCTGCTGAACCAGGGCTATCTCCAGCGCCAGGAGGGGAGGCCTCATGTCTTGGAATACATCTCTGCTGAATCCACAACGCTCCCCACTTCTCAGGTCCAGCCACAGGTTGCCTTCCAGACTGTAGAGATTAAGACAGCAGCAAGTCTGGCCTCTGCCGTCTCTGAAAGGAGACAGACTTTTTCCACATTCAGGTAGATTGAGAACCTGGCTGGGAGAACTCAGGCTGAATCCAGTCTATCTCTTCCTAAACACATGTGAGTTTTATTTAAATAAATGAGCCAAACTCCACCCAGTCCCACTGTGTAGTCTGTTTGAGAGCTCAACTGGTCCATGGTTGGGAGTGTGGCCAGGCCACACCCATGTGCTCAAGCAGCCCTGACAGTTGTGCTTGCTGGAGTGGTGGTAGTAGCTGCACCCTGCCCAAATTTTTTCTCTCCCAGCTCTGCTGAGTCATGCCCTCAGACATGAGCGCACACGTACACACACATACCCTGCCATAATGGTAACAGCGTTAATTTATTAAAATTAATCCTGAAAAGTAACCATACAATAAATTTAAAAAAAATAGAATCTTGTAAAAAAAAAAACTCAGGTGCCCTCATCCCACACCTCCAGCTGGCAGCACCATGGGGTAGGGCTGGTTGGGAAAGGATGGGGAGATGAAGAAGACAGTCTCAGCAGCAGGGCTGCAGGGGGACTGGAAAAGCTGCTGAGGCTGTGCTGCAGAGGGCAGGGCCAGCACAGCAGTGCAAGGCTGGCAGTGGGGCTGGCAAGGGTGGTACAGGGGTGGTGGGCCCTGCTCAGCACCTGCCCCTGCACAGAGCAGTCTGGCTGGCTGCAGCACTGGGGAACTCGCCTGGGTCCAGCCCAGCTGGGACCCTGGCTGGCTACAGGGCTGGCCTGGCAGGTGCATCTGTGGGGAGTGGGGCCCAGAGCCCATCCTGGGGCCCTGCTGGCTGGTGCCAACCCTTGTCCCAGGCTTGATGGGGGACACGGGAGGCAGATGGCATGGTGTCCTGGCTGGTGTTGGAGGGTGCACGGACCCGGTCTCAGTGGCCTCACCTTCATGGGTCTTGGCCCACAGGGTGCAGGTATAGTATCCCCCCCTACTGAGCAGGCAGGGACTGGTCTGCAGAAGATGGGGACAAGAGCATGTCCATCTCCCTGTCTCCTGCAACCCACTGCAGCTCCATTCCAGGGATGCCCCAATGTCTCACACACTCTTCGAGTAGCCAAAGATGCCCACAGGGAGGTACTTGACGTGTGTTGGCCACTGTGCTGCCAGCTGGAAAAACTTCACATCGTTCCACTCCACCCCATCTATGGAGACTGAGAGGAGAGGGTGTAGTGAGCCACAGTGCTATCACAGCCAGCCTGTGCTGCCTGGGCTGCCCCACTACAGCCTCAAGGAGCTGGTACCTGCCCTCACCTCGCAGCATGGTGTTCTGGTGCTTGGCTGTGCAGATGAGGCGTGTGATCCCTTCAATGACTTGGCTTTTGGGTTCCAAGTCTTTTTCTTTTGGTTTCTTGCTCAGGAACATCACTGGGGACCAAGGCCAGACAGGACCAATGTTAGGATGCCCCCACCTGGCCCTAAGTGGGAGCCCCTGCCCCAGTGCATTGACTGATCCCTGCTGGGCCACATCTCAGCCCTGCCCTCCTGCAGGCTCCCCCCACCCTTTCTGCAAAGCACTGTGGCCCCACAGACAGAGAGCACCCCAGAGTGGGCTTGGTTACCTTTCTTGTTTTTTTCCTTGGTGACCACAGTCATGGCCATAGTGCTGGGGGACACCAGTTCCCCTGTGCTGGGGATGCGGCTGACTTGGAGCGAGCGGAAGTTGCTCTTGAGTGTGTTCTTGATACCAGTCTCCCGCCTGTCACCCTCCTTCTTCCTGTCCAGCCCTTGTGTTGTCCAGTAGTCCACCTGCAGGCCCATCACCTCCACACCAGGGCTCGGAGACCTGGGTAACATGGACAGCACATGCAGCACACAGGTGCTGCCTCTGCTCCTCTCCCCTGACTGCCGCAGGCTGAGGGGACCTTGTTTCCTTACCCAGCACCCGAGAGGCTGCTGCTGACGGATGGAGAGGGTGGTGGGGTGCTCACGGTCTCCTTGCCGTAGGGAACAGCTACACTGGAGGCTGGTGTTGAGCTCAGCAGGGAGGGGGTGCAAACTGTGGCATCATCCGAGTCCACTGGGAAGAAAAAGTGTGGGTTTGAAGGTTTGGGGGACACCAACAAGAGCCCCCCATCTGTGGAGAAGAGAGATGGGCATTCCCAGATACTCACCGGAGGCACTGAAAGACTGCTCTACCAGGCCCACCTTCACCACCTGCAAGGAGAAACCAGAGGATACCCAGCATCAGCAGGACTGTGCACTGCACCTCTCCCCTCAGCCCCTGCTGGCCCCTCAACTCACTCACCCCCACAAAGGGGACAAACTTCTGGCAGGAGTCCTCATCAGGGCTGCAGAAGGAAGAGAGTCTGGTCAGGGTCTGGGTGTGCTGAGCACCAATTGCTGTGTGACTACTAACCTTGTGCCCAGGCAGCCCTGAACTCACAGAGGTCAATGTTGGCTCACATCCACTAGGACCATCTCCTCTGCCCTCCCTCCCATGAGACCCCCTGTCCCAACATGGCAGCACAGGGCACACTACACAAGGAGGCAAGGAGTTGTCCCCTCCAGTGCTGGGAAAGGGCTTGCATGCGGGAGGGCAGCCTGCCCCTTTGGGGGGTCATGGCTCCTCTGCACAGCAAGAGGGATGGACGCACATGGGGAAAGGCAGGGAGGGGCCAGGCAGCGGCACAGCAAGCACAAGCCAATACCTGATATAAAAATCAAAATAGAGACTTCTCTTCCTTGGGTGCCAGAAACCAAGAGAAGGGAGAGGTGAGAGTGCAGCTGGAACACGAGCATCAACCCCCGGACAGCACAGTACCAGCTTGCAGCCCCACCCAGCCCATCCCAGCCCTCGCAGCTGGTCCCCACCACTGGGGCTATCACAGTCACAGCTACTGGAGGGGCCAAGGACACCAGGAGGTGGCAGGGAATGGTGCTGTGGACCGCTCACTGTGGGAGCTCCAGCTCCCCTCAAAACCATGCTGCTCATCAGCGGAATGCAGGGCCTCACTCACTTGTCCCGTGTCCCTCATTCCTGTCCTGGGCACATCCCAGACTGGGGCTGCTTGAGGGAGGACAGGCACCCTGGGGCCCCACTCACCTCTTCTGCTTGTAGGTCAACATGGCCTCAGAGATGGGGAGCTGGTGAGAGAGGCTGGCTCCAGCAATGAACTGGGCAACACGGCCGGCTATGTCCACAGTGTCTATGGGCACAAAGAGCAATGAAGACCTCGATGGCAGCTGGGCTCCCCATCAGGGCACCGCTGATGCCAGCCTGCCCCACTCCTCACCTGCGGTGGGAGGCTCAGCCCTGCTGAACAGTTCCCGCCACGCTGTGTCCAGGAAGAGAGTGCTGTATTTGTTATCCACCGAGGCCAGGTACTTGGCCAGAGGGTGAGAACCTGCAGGAGAGAAGGGCAGTGTTGGGTTCAGCCAGGGGAGTCTGGGGAGGTGGGAGAGAACAGCCCTAGGGCTGGGCTCCTCATGGTTCTCACCCAGCGGCACAAGCAGGAAGCGAAGGTAGTTGAGCCAGTCGGGTGTCTTGCTGGCCAGTTGCTCCACAAAGAAACGGAGGACAACACTCAGGTAGCTCTGGTCTCCTGCCACCACCACCTTCACCGGGGGAGGCATTTGGGAGTTACAGTTACAGCTGCCAAAGGGAGAGGAAAAGGAGACCCTGAGGGACATGCAGTGGCTCAGCAGGTGGGCCAGGGGACATGATCTGCCAGGCCAGCTGACAAAAACCCACTGCTGAGAATATCCAGCTTGGTGTGCACTGCCAAAGGCAAAAGCAGTACTGGGACACCCCCACTCTCCCCAGGATGTACACCTGTTTTTATAGTACCATCCACAACCCCAAAGGGTCCCTAATGAGCCCTGGGGAGTCAGGGCCGTACCCAGCTCTTCTCTGAACCCATACAGTGCCACCAGGCTGATCCCAAGCTGTACTCACTATCGCTGGATGCGGGAGACAGTGGTGTTGAAGGCTGCCTGGATGTCCGCCACGGAGCAGGTGGATACAACCAACTGCTTGTGCGCCTGGAGCTGCTCGCTCACGTACTGCCAATGCAGAGAGCTCAGGTTAAGGCACCCTGGAACCATGGCTGTGCTGGCCAGCACCAGCCCATGCCTGCCCTGAGTCCCGTGCCCCTGGGTTACAGCTGGGACACCTGTCCCCACCCATGCCATGCAGGGAGGATGAAACCACCAGGTTTCAGTCTCCCTGCACAGTTACATCCTGAGCATCCCCACTCCTCCCAGCTCTGCTCTAGGGGCCAGCCAGCCCCCTGCTCTCACCTTTGAACACAGCAGTCACCACCCTTGCCACGGCAAGGGAAAAACTGTTCCAAGAACCAGGCTGTGCTCCTTGAAATAAGCAGTTTGGTCCAGGGACCCTCTGATTTACGTTCTGTCATCCCACAGCAGGATCCTACTCTAGGCTCCCTCTGCCTCTGGTCATACCCTCTTCTTGCTCTCTCCCACTATGGCACTCCAAAATCCTTCTGTCTCTTGATGTGTCTGCATGCAGTTCAACAGTGGCAAAATAGGCAGTCAAGATGGACAAGGGGGCTGGTTCTGCAACTGGGCACTGACCCTTTTTTCCCTATCCAGGACAAATGGAACAAGCCAAAAATGCATGGCCTGAGTCAAGACTTCACTGCCTCTCAATAAGTGCTTTCTTCTGCCTCACAATTTTCCAGCACCCTTTCTGAATGCCAGATGTAGCTGCAGGATCCTGAAGGAGTCTCACAAGTGTTTTATCTAACTGCATGTTTGCACACATGTACATTTCCTTGCTCACCTTTGGTTTTAGAGCTCTAGGTATGGGGGAGGCAAGTGTTTGTCAGACACTGGGCCTGTCCTCACACGCCACCCTGCTCTGATGATGTAGTTAATGCTCCCTGGGAGTGGCAGGTGACACTCTTGCATCTCTCAGTGGGAAATACCTCTGCTGCTTCCCAGGGCCTGGTGCCCACACAGGAGAGGTCTTTGCCATGGAATCCAACAAAGCTCTGACCCATAGGTTTCCTGGGAGCCAGAACCAAGCAGTGAAGGCGTAGGGCACAGTCTGCTAGCCAGTGTTTCTGGGACTGATCAGGCCATCATGTTTTGAGAATCCAGTGATGCTGTGTGATGGAGGGGAGACACCTGACTCGTGTATGTGACTCAGCATCCTGTAAATGCACTGTCTCCTTGAATGAAGTGCCACACTGGGGGAGAGGAGAGCACAGCTGATGCCAGTTTCCCTAGATGCCCTGCTATAACTGGGAGAATTCACCCTGCTTACAGCTGCCTACATGCATCCAGCTCTCATCACACCTACTCACCTGGCCCTGCCACTCAGCAACATTCACCAGCACGATGCTCTCAGGGAGCTGCTCGTCTGAGACCAGGATCTGGTTCAGCTGATCATAAACAGATTTTCGAGGCACCTGTGACAGCATCACCATAGAGGTTAACCCCAGTCATCCACCTTGGACACTGCCCACGGATGAAGATCTGGCAGAGCTTTTGAATGAGAAGCCTCCAAGTGGGCTCACCTGGGTGTTATGCCATGAGTCTGGGGAGCTCTCACTGTCCAGGCTGCTGGTACGGCCACCTTGTACCTTTGAGCTCTGCCGGTCCTTCACAGAGGTGCTGCGGGGACGCCACAACTGCTTGTTCTCTGCCTTGCTGTGAAGGAGAAGCAGGAGAGGCAAAACTGTTGAGGAAATCTCATCTCCACCAACCCCTACTCAGTTCAGGGAGCCAGTGTGAGCTCTATCAGCCCTGGGAAGGGGCACAGACCTGCCTTACCTGGGCGATACAGCACTGGGGATATCGGCTTTGGTCCCAGGGCCCAGCTGGGCCAGTCTGTCCATGCTGCCCTCCCTCATGGCAGCCTCTGTGGGGCCCAGCCAGGAACACGACTCCTCTGTCACCAGCTCCTGAGGGCCACACAGAGTCACTTCACACACACTGCTATCCTAGCTCCAACCAGGGAGCAACCCTGAACCCATGGGTGCCCATCATCAAGAGACTCCAGGTGGCCCCTTCCGGAGAGGAAAGGCTGCAGGGTCTTGGGGGGGGCTGGGCTGCATTTCCTGCAGACCCTAACACTCCTTCAACTCCTGCTGCTCTCCAGCACAATCTGCTTGTCTTCCCAGCCCTGCTTGCAGCCTGGTGGGCACCCCTGGTACTCCAGAAAGCAAGCTGGGGTTTGAAAGAGCTCCACATCCCATAGCCTGGACTCACCACTGCAGGGACCTCTGTTCCTTGCTCTTCTTCTGGTTGCTGTGCTCCTGGCTTCCTCTTGTCTGCCTCGCCCTGGGGGACAGGGAGTAGGGTCAGAGCAGGATGGAGCACTCTGTGCAGGGCAGCTGCCAGTGACCCATGCCTGGCCTCACAGAACACAAGCTCCCACAGGGGAGTCGGGCATCTCTGGGACTGGCCCCAGAGGATGTCCCCCATCGCTACCTGTCTGCCTGTGCTGGGAAAAAGAGGAGGAAAGAAGGAAAGAGCAGCCCCAGGCAGGCGCTGCTAGGAGCTGTGGTCTCAGAGCACGGGCACTGTGGGGGTGCTGGGCTGCCTGGGGAGGGAAAGGGGCAAGAGGTGGTGGTGGAGGTGTAACTCACAGGGCTGCCCGACTCTTGATCCTGCCCTTTCTGGCTGTGCAAACTGCCGATCTCAGTCTGGGAACCAGAATGAGAGACTCCCTCAAAGAAACGCCTGCAGAGAAACAGACAGACGAACGGACGGACAGACAGACAGATGGGAGAGAAAAAGGCAGGAATAAGAGAGGAACAAAGTCACCATGATCCCAGCACACCCCCACCAGCCTGTCCCAAGCACAGAGCTCTGTGGAGAGGTCCTCAGTGGGACACAGGGCCAGACAGGCAAGTGTCTGGGTGATGCACAGCTGAGGAGCAGACCTGTCAGTGGTGCCCCCTGTGACCTCGGGGAGCTGGAGGTAGGGTCTCCTGGGGCTTTCTGCCTCAGGTGATCCCCTAGCCCTGCAGTGCAGGTGCAGAGCTGCCACTCTGCCCCATCTCACTGGTATACGGTCTCTGTCAACACCAGTTTCAACGTGCCACTAAACCTCTCTGCTTCCGCTGCATCAACATAGTTTCCACAGACTTCTGCTGCCTTCTCTTCTGCTTCCCCTTTTCCAGGGATTGCTCCTTGCCTCTGCCTGCTGCTGCTACACATTTCCAACTGCAGCATTCACCTTCCCTTTCTGCTTTCTCCTTAGAACCATACCTCAGGTAGCACAGTACTTAAATGTGCCAGGTTTTCGGTCTCTAAGCTGACGTTTTGGTAGAGTTGCATAGTGCAGCTCCAAGGTCCTGTTTTCAAGTCACCATAGTTCACACAGGAACTCTCTTGGGGAATCCAGGACAGTCTCTGCCACTACAGTGTGAGCTTCCACCTTTGATTACCCTTTTTCCACATATTATTTCTTTGCCAAGGACCCCTTTCACAGCCTGTGGGCTGCCCAAAGACCAGTCTTTAGGAAACAAGTGGAGTCTATCACTGGATCTCACTTGCCAGTTTTCCCAAGACCTTTACAGCAACCAGAATCCACCTGCAATCTGTGACTTGGCTGCAGGAGATCAGAGCTAGATTCCCTCTAAGCTTTGTGTATGCGGTTAGTAACTCCCAGGAAATGTTTCTCCTGATGTGCCCAGTGTGTAGATAGGGCCTATGCAGTTGCAGGTTTCCAGGGATGGCCACAGAGGCATAAGATATAGAGATGTTCTTCTGTTATCAGAAGAACTCTATCAGAATGTCTTTCCATTGTTTTCTACTTTTCTCATCAGAATTTACCTGCAGTTTCCTGCAGGATACCTCCTCTGAACATCCTGCCCGCTCCTTTTATTTCCTTTTAGCATGCTTCCTCATTTGTATACTGCACACTGTACTGCCAGGCACAACAGTGTTTGTCAGGTTTTACTACTCCTGAAAGGACATTCCACCTCTGTAAATAAATGATGCTTCCCACACAGAGCAGCTCTTCAGCAGCAGCGTTTATGCACTGTTTGGGAAAAGTCATGGCTTGATTTTCCCCTCACTGGCTCTGTGACCAGTTGCTTCAGGTTTAGAGTCACAATAGTGCCCTGGTGGGACATTTTCTCCAGGCCACACTGGTATAAATTACATCTCCTTTTACCAACATCTTTCTTCTCTCTCTTCCCTTTCATTCTCTGCTACAAAATCTCAGGCATCCTGTACAGTCATTACTCTACACTTGCCTTTTGCCAGCCAAAAATTCAATCCATACAGACTACATTAGTAACTTCAGAGTCAAACTAGAAAAACATGTAGGTTTTCAAATAGATCACCCCTCAATCAGCATCTCTTCCATACTCCTCTATATTGTCCCAAGTAATCCCACCAGAATGTGACATACCCATCGTGCCACTAGCATCACAAAGAGGTATCTTCATTCCCTCCTTTTTCTTAGACACTGGATGTGTCTAGATTATATTATACTTCCTCTGGCTTTCAACACTTCATTTAAATCAGGCTGTCTCCTCCTTCCCCATGAAAGCTGTGTTTGTTTGTGCCCTATCTCACTTGCAATTCAGAAACTTTCATCCCTCAAGGACATCACATTAAGCACAGAGCTGCTCTGCAATTTCCTGTTCTGCAGTTTAAAGGCTCTCCTCCTACAGGCATGACTGAGCCCACATCTCGGCACTCTGAGATTTAGGTGAAGTCCAGTCCTTCTGCACAGCCTCCTTCTGTTCTAAATCAATTTAGCCCCCCTTGTCCCATCCATTTTCCCAGTCACCTATGAAGATGTTTGTTCATTTACCTTTGACCTTCAATCAACAGGTCTGTCTTGAGGTCCTGCCTAACAGCCTCAGTTCCAGCTTCAGCTTTGCCCCAGTGCAGGAGCAAACTGATGCTGCATGGCCTCCCTGGCTGATCAAAAGGATCAGCTCTCAGCACCATTGGCCCAACCCAGGGCACCAGCCACTTCCTATCACTGAAGACTGCACATCATTAGTGCCCTTGCTTCACAGAGATGTTTACAGTGTCTAGCAGGACTGTCCATGACAAGAAATGCAAGTGAGGATCACCTCAAATTTACAGGCTAGGCTGTAATTTACCCCTTGAGAAGGCTACATAGCACTTGTGAACCATGAAGTCTACATGAAACACCTTGGCAGGCAGCTTCCACATCTCCTTAGGAAAAATACAGTTCCAGAATTTTGTGAAGTATTCCCTTGTGAATTCAAGGGATGCACATTCAGCATTGCCAGAAACTGAGGCACCAGAGACCAAATCAAGCCAGGGACACTTTCTGAACAGGATGAAGAACAGCTCAGAGCCCAATAGGCTGTCCTTCCAGGAATAGCACCAAACACTCCAGGAACACTGTAATGGTGGGCACCAGCACAAACTAGCACTCATTCTGGAATGCTGTTCCAGTGATCAGATGTTTGCAGGTCCGCATTTGCAAAACCAGGGTGGAGGTCTGTCTTTACATTTAAGTACTCTCAAGAGACTTTTCTTACAGTTTCATATAGTCTATATACATAAACCACTATCTGACCACAGAAAGACCTTCCTTTTCCTCCCACAGCACCTTTGTCTCCTTTGATGAGAGACCATGTGAAACTCCTTTTGGAGTCCAAGCAGATCACTTAAGCAGCTTGCCTATGTGCCTGCTGTCACCTTCACAATAACTTGTGCGTTTGTGAAAAACACTTCTATCATATTCCTGATTTTTCCCAAGTGGCCTATGGGTTCCAAAATCCAACAGATTTAATTTCAGTTTGCCTGTGGCAAACCATGCCTGCTACTCCTGCTAAGTACCTTCAGTGGGGATACCAACCAAATAATTTTTTTTTTTTTTCCATTGCAGGGGGGTCAGCACTAGATGATCTTTCAGGTCCCTTCCAACCCAGGCTGTTCTATGATCCTATGATTCTATATATAAAACTATAGAAACAACAATGCCAAGTAAGCTTGGCTTGACTACAAGAAACCCAGTGCACTAGAACGCAGTCAAGTAGAAAGACAATAAAAGACAACTTTTCCAAAAAAGACAGCACAAAAGCACAAAAGCCACGAGCAGACAGGCCAGGTGAGCACAGATCATGTGGGAGCAAAGCCTGGTTTCCCTGCACGATCCACTGGAGACCTCTGTGCTAAGTCAGCAGTTCTTGGCAGAAGCAAGTCACCAGTGCCTGGGGAACGGGGTGAGGAACAGCGCTGCTGGGTTGCTAGTCACATCTCCACACAGGGTGGGAACACAGCATGCACATCTCACAAGGACTGGTCCAAGCAGTCACAAAGGGCTCAAAAGACAGGCATGCTTCAGTATGGAGCACCCAGATAACGCCAGGAGTGTTGGCAGAAAGACATGAGAGCTGGGAGCAGCCAGGGCTTAGATCAAATAGGGCTCTACCAGCAGATAAGTGTCAGATGCTAGGCTGGCAGAAAAATGAGATTAAATGTGAAGGAAGTCAGATTTAATGGGCAGTTTTAAGTGAGAAGCCAGTGGTGCCAATAGCAGATGGCAATGGGAGTGGAGACAAGGCAATGCCTGCATTAGCCCAAGCAACAGAAAGGTGTTGGAGAGCATTTCTCCAGGTCCCATAGGGTGTGCTGTTGGCCAGGGACTCCCTGCGACCCTTACCTCAGGGTGGGCTTGGGTGTGCTGTGTACACTCTCATTGTCCTCCATCTCTGGGCCACTGTCACTGTTGTTGCACTCTTCCAGGCTATCATAGAGCAAGCCCAGATCTTCTTCCACCTCACGGGTCTGGTCTACAGGGTCAGAGTCCAGGACCTGTGGGACCAAGGCCAGAGAGAATGAAGAGACATGGAGTTCCCTGCATCCCACAACAGACATGTACAAGCTGCCCGTCAGTCACCATGGCACTGCTCCCACCTCAAGGAGGCAAATCCAGGCTGTGGAAGAATCAAATGACATTGTTATCGGGGCAAAGAAAGATGCCATGAACATGACATCCAAAGGAGTCTCAGACACCCATCACACTTACTGGCAGTTAGGACACCTGGGAGGACTTTCACTGGCTGTGCTACACACTTAGCCTGGGCTGTCAGCCAAGAGAAACCATCCACAGGCTGATGTTAGCCTGCAGTCAGTCTAACTGGACAGGATTGCCCCTGCAATGCAAGCTCCTGGTGCAGAGTCAGTCCGTGACAGCAGCCTTCTTCCCTGGGCACCTTCCCTTAACAGGAAGGTGCTTTTTGATTTGAGCACAAAGATCAGAACTGCTTTCTTGAGGCAGAAGGCTTTGGAAAAGCCATGTCCTAGTCTCTGCCACGTCTTACACCATCTTTGGCACGTGCCTGAGCTCATGAGCTTTGTGTTACCAGTGTGTGGGAATCTGCACTCTGACACCTACACATCTGCAGGAGACATCACCAGATGAGGCAGCTTTCTTGCTCCTTACCTCTTCTGTCACTCTGAACCTCCTCAGCAAAGCCACAAATTTCTGCTTGAAGTTTGGTTGCTAAAACAAAAGGAGGGAAGAAAAAAACATCAACAAAACTATCAAACCACATTCCAAGCTAACATACAACAGGCCATGGTTATTCCCTCTAACATGCTGTCCAGAGATCCAAGGTCAGCTATGATTGCTCTCTCTCTCTTTAAATTTGGCGAAGGACTTAGGCTACCTCTGTACTCCACAAGAAGCCATGGTCTGGGCATGAGGGAGGATGCAAGGACTCATACTTTCTCTGCTACAGGCTGGAACAGCACTTCATTTAAATCATGTTTCTCCCCAGACCCCCTGGTTGAACAATACTGCCTTCAAGCAAGAAAAGATGGGGAACAAACTCAGGAAGAAGGTGGCCAGGGATCCACAGGGCTGAAGTCAATAGGGTTGAGAAGTTTGGAGAGCAAGGATCTGGCAGAGCAGCTCCTCCTTCTGCAGACATACAGAGGAGCTGCTAATAGTTCAGCTTTCCTTGTGCCTACCTTCCCCTTCCTCAGGAAAGAGACCACATGACAGCAGCAAGTCAAAACTGTTGCATACCGATCACCACAAAGCCCAGCTGAACACAGCACAGACCATGACCTGGGATACAGCTCTGAGCAACAAGCTAGCTCATTAACGGCAAGAGTTTTGCTCCTTCTCAGAGCCAAGGGCTCTCTCCCCTGCTCTGCACCAGTGACAGCATCAACCCTTCCCAAGACCCCTCAATGCCTTCAGTGAGGGGAGAAAGTGAATCCCCTCCATCCCTTTAATCATGTTGTAAATGCGGATGTTACTCTGGTGATTGATGTGGTTCGGTTCATTTTCCTCCTGGCCTTCTTGGTTTTCCTCAAGTCATCCTCTTCATCAAACAGATCCTGCAGGCAAAAAGTCACAGTACATTAGAACAACTAAGTTCATGGAGCAGCACCTCCTAAAATTTTCCCACCTGACATTTGCCCTTCATTTTGAAAAGCTTTGATCCAATATGCTCCTAAAGTCTTGTCTTTTTCTGCTACCTCTCTCTATGGAGCTCCTTCTTTCTCCTTAGCACTGTTCCCCTTCAGACCTTCTTTCCCAGCACTTCTGTCCCCAGGCCCCTCCAGAGAAGAATGTATCAGCAAGATTAAGAGGAGAAACAGCCTCCTCAGGACCTGTGTGTTGTTCTCCTGCTCTCCCCTCTCCAGAGTTAGCTCAGAGAGCACAGAACATGAATCACAAAATACCCCATTTTTTCCACGGGCTAGCCTTAACAATATTCACAACTCCTAGGGACATGGGCCACTACTGTATTAACCCAGCATGATGGGACAGGTAATCTTGGAGGACCCTTGTGAGAGAAATGATAATGGTTAATGTCTTGAACAAATGGCCATTGCAAAAGCAGCAGGTATGCTTTGCTGAGGCCCAGCAAACCAAAGGGGAGGAGGAGGAGAATTTTTGGATGTGTGGTGGAGAAGCCTCTGATCTGCATAAGAACAGCCTAGGTACAAAGGGGTAAGCACCCATCACCAGAAACCAACCATGACAAATTTTAGCTTAGCAACAAACTAGGTTTTGAGCTAGATAAAGGAAGGCCACAAGAAGCAGATCCTGTTGGGTAGGATAATGTTTTTCATCAGACCAATATCCTCCATTACCTAGCTGGCTCAGGTGTAAAACTTCCTACCCCATCCGCTGCCCCCTTAGGCCTGAAGGTATTCATCGTTTCTGATGGGGTTTAACCGGCTCAAGTGCACTGAAGTGAGAGCTCTCACGTCTTACCAAAGACCACCCTCCCCACCCAAGCACCCCCAGACTCATTTCTGAGGCCTTTCACTCTAGGACTGCACCTAATTCACAGTGTTGCATCAAATCTACAGTTACATTAGACAATGTAAAAGTCCCCACCTGCAGAAGTACCTGAGCATTCCCACCCAAACCTGAATGCATATTAACTATTGAACTCTCTGTTTCAGGCTTCCCCCATCAAGACTATGACCACTGCTTTAACCAAACCAAGCAATAATCAAATCTGAATCCACAGTTTTTCTCTCCACTATCTACTCTTACTGTTTCTTTACCTCTCTTTATTTCTTTTTCTGAAGATATTTTTTTTCTGAAGTTATATCTTTTTCTGAAGTTATATTTTCTGAAGTGGTATCTTTATACTTTGATACTGTATTACCATAGGTAATAATTACCAAAATGGAAACATACCTCCTTTCCATTGCAACCAAGTTGTTCTGAATAAATCTGCCATATATATATATATATATATCTTATGTTTACAAGGGGATGAGAGGGCTCAGGGTGATCAAGAACCTCAATGCCTGACTTTTGCCTCAGAAACAGGGCCAGGACATAAGGTATCTTGCCAGGCCTCCCTTACCTGACCCTGCACAGCATCATCACTGGCTTCCTGCTCTGAGGAGAAGCTGTCATCCTCTTCTTCAGAGTAGTTATCAATGTCTGGGGAGCGATCTGAAAGCAGACAGTGCAAATGCCCCAGCTAAGCATGATGCCTGTCATGGCTGCAGTGAAAGGACTGGCATTGCTGGCAGTGCTGAGGGACACACTCTGTTACCCGTGCCCCAAACGTTTGCCTGCAGGTCTGAGCACCAAACACACCTGAAGCCTTGATTTTAGGACCCGAAGGGACATTCCCATCCTCATGGTCGATGGGCTGACTGGACAGAGAGTAGATGCTGATTTCAGCCACTCGAATGTTCACATCCTTCATGTTGCTGTGAAGGCCCAGGAGTTGCCCACCATCTGTCGGGTGCTGCATGACCTAGACACACAGACAGACAAGCTCGCTGATAGGGTGACACAATGGCAGCTGGCAGCCCACCCTCTCTATATTACAGCCAGCCAACAAGCCAGAACACTCACAGCAATGAGACCCTGCCCAGTTCCCTGGCCAGTGCTGGCACAGGAAGGCCATGTGGTACTCCCCTCTGTTCCCAGCACGCTGTACCTCAGCCATGTTGATGATTCCCACTGCCAGGGTCTTGTAACCCAGGATGGTGCGGTTCTTATATCTCTTCCTCCGCTGCAGCATGATCTGTAGCTTGTTGCCATCTCTCTTGAGGAAGTGTGGGTACTGGGGAAGGGAAGCACACAGAATATGGCAGCATGAGGTAGACACACAGGTAGAAAACTCTTCTTCAATGCTGATGTACAGCAGGATCTGACCTGCTGAGCTTTGAAGTGCCCCTCAAAAGCCATCTCACCTATCCATCATCCCCCAAATCCCAATGCCCAGCAAAACAATCCCTGGAGCAATTGGCCAACCACAGCAGGCCCCTCCCCAGAGGCTGTGCCTTTCATACTTAGCCCTAAGGTTGTCTTTGTAGAAAAACGCCAGGTAAGGAAGCCCAGGGGACCAGGAAACACCAGGTACCTGCAGTGAGAAGGTCAGCTCCAGCTCGGTCTCCATCAGACCCCCAGGCGGGAGGATGTATTCATTTGACCTCAGGACTCGCTTTGAACCCTACAACAAGATTGACAGACACACACACTGAGAGCTTGACCACAGACTCCACTGCATCACACACACAAAGACAATGGTGTTCACAGTCCACAAGAAAATGAGAATCCTTCAACACTGTTCTGTTTCACCTTGCAGAGCCACCTTTCACATGCTTATGAACACTTTGCAAAAGCCTGCAGTATCCCCTGAGCTGCCAGAGGCACCTTCTCCCTTCTCCACCTGCCAGGGAGCACCTGCTCTTCACAAGCCTGCTCTGCTTAATCTGGCTCTCTGCACCTGGAGTGCCACTCCCATGCCATAGAGGGACACTCCTGGAGCCAGACGGAGCCATGCAGGGCAAGGAAAGGATCCCAGCACACTGGCCAGGAAAGGGACAGGTCCTGGAGACATCTGTCTCCCAAGCAGACAGGCCCAGTGCAGATCCCTGTGTAAGCACAGCTGGCAGGCTGGCTCTACTGGGACCAAGTCAGGATATGCAGGAGAACAGGAGCCCCCCTGCTTGCTCAGCTTATGTCTCAGAAAACCCTATCCCAGTCTTTTCTTCAGGCAACAGTCTTTATCTCTCTACATATAGAAATGTTTTTTACCAGAAGGGTAGTAATGGAGGCACTCTAATCATGTTCCCACTCCAACTCTTTACCTCTGCCCTATCTCTACCATCTCTATGTCTTGGTTTCTGATAGAGACCCTGAATGACTTGGGGGCAGAAAAATGCTGTCTGCATGCACCAGGTCCTCTTGGCTGCAGGGTGGCACAACCCACAGATCCTCCCAAAAGCTGTCTGCAGTGCTGTTCCCAGACACTGTGCCAGGAGCAAGGCTTTCCTGCAAAAGGTCTTCCTAAAATGGAAGAGAGGAGGTGGAGCTCATCCCCTTCACCATCTGTGAGCCTTCCTGGCCAAGAACACACTGACCCTTCCTGAACTCTTCTCTGATAACAGATGACAGGCAGTTACAATCACAGTGACCATTTACTTTAGTACATTTGTCATTTGCCCTTTGTTGCAAAGAAATGATCCACCAAAGATTCATTCTTTCATCAAAACACAAGTAAAGTGCAATTACTCTTCCTGAAGATGCAGACATTTCTGGGGAAGGATTTACAGCAAAGAAAAGGTGAGGATATCCTGAGTGGTGTGTCCAGGAAGTGATGGTTTCATAAACATTGCTGTCCTGTGCCTTACTGTCATTTACCACTACGGAAGCTACATGCCCAGCCTCAATCCTAGGTAAATCCAAACTCTCAGTGCAATGCCAGTGCACATCCATGTGAAATTACAAGGACTGGAACAAAGGCTGCTTCATTATCACAGTGCAAGGACAAGGACATAGAAATACTGAAGCTTGTCCATCCTTTGAGAAATTCAAACCTCAACTGGACATGGCACTGAACACCTGATGTAGCTCATCTGTTCTGTAACTTGAATAATGTCAGGCAAGACAAATTTCTCTGTAGAACAGTTGAGTATCCCTATGAATATATATATCCCTATGAATACCACAGAAAAACTTAATATCAGACTGTTACAGTGAAAATCATGGATGACAAAGAGTGTCAAGGAAGAGAAAAGCAATAGGGACAGGTAGTGATCACAGGTTTTTGCTTCCTAAGAACTGAAAACACAAAGGAGCTTTCACTACAATAGGCAGGTACATGATGCCCAGGTCTGGTTTGCAAGGGACAATCCCACATTTCAGTTGTAAATCTGTCATTATTGGTCTGGTTTATTAAAGGGTTGAGGCTAGAGCAGCATACCACATCTGGAAAATGAGAGAGAACTAATGTAAGTACCAGACTAGGCAGACAGCACAACACCAGAATTCAAGTCGAACATGAATTTTGGGAGAGAACAACTCATTAATATAATAAACAAATTTTGGGTTTAGCTAGGATTGCTCAGGCAAAGTGAAAAATACTACAAGTGGTTACAAAGAGATAAGGAACAAAGCATGAGTGAGGCATAAACAAAAATCTCTGCATAGTAAGAAAGACCAAAACAACCCAAGTTCCTTCAGGGAGCAGGGATGGGGCAGCAGGCAGGCCTGGCAGAGGCAAACAACCTTTTTACTCCGGCCTATTTCATAGCACACACTCTTGTTTGCTACATAGGGACTCTCAGTATCAACTCGCTACAGCAGTACCAAGGCTTGAACCTGAGTCACCAGCTGTATCCTGCAAGCAGATGCAGGAAGATCGGCATCCACAGCACCTATAAGAGGAGCTGAAAGTTCTGGGAGTGCTGGGGTTTTTTTTCTTCTTTCTTTCTTTGACTGTTTACTTTATTCATGGTTCAAGATAGGGTCTTTGTGAACTACAGTCTCTCTGCTGAGAGGGAACACTGTTTCCCTTCATGCCACAACCAGTTGTGATACCAAGGCAGGTATCTGCAGCCTTATAGAGCTGAGCCAGCACCTCCAAATCTCTTAGTGCCACAGTAAACAACATGCAGAAGGAAATGCTCTATGATGGCTCCAGTCTGCTAAAACAAATAAAAAGGGACAAAGGTTTAAAAACCACTCAAGTGAATGAGAGCAAATCCCCTTTTTCACAGTAGTTCAGGCTTTATCTCACTCAAATCCACAGAATATTATATATTCAAATCACCTCAGGGAAATGGCTAAGTTCTGTAGACATAGAAAGTTTCCCTTGACAGTGGTATTTTCAGATGAAGGAGCAGATAGCAGCACATGGCACCCTTCAAAGCTGTCTTTTAAGACCAAAAGAGCACTGTGAGAAAAACATCAGGAGTTCTGGACAGGTTCTTTTGGGTCATGCACAGTTTTGAAGAAGACTGTCTCCAGCACTGGAGCTGTTGCCTGCATGGCAGCCGCATTCAGGCAGGGTCAGAGTTTTATTTCCTTGCAATCTGCCTTTCAGAGCAGCAACTTCCTGATCCTAACAGAACTATTATTAAAATGAGAGAAATATAGCTCTCCTTTCCTCTAGTCCCCAGCTTCCCCCTTTGGGAATTTGCAGGTCCTTTATAAATTATGTGCATCAGCTCTTTCCATCCAAAAGATGGAATGCTCACTGGAAAGCCTTCAAACAGTTTCTTACTAGTGTGACTCATCTGTTACCTAGGAGAGGAGCAGGAGGAACAGATCCATCTGAGGCCACTCTGTAGGCACGCTGTGCTGAAGCTGCCTACAGCCTCCATCTGCCTTCCAGCAATCCCAAAACCTGCCAAGGCAGCTGGTCAAGCAGGTGGAAAGCAGCCTAGAGAGGCACACAAACGCAGCCCACTCCTACAGGGAATGCTGAGCCAGGGGGTAATGTGGGCAAAAGCATTCTCCTCGTTTTCTTCAGCTTTGCAGGAAGACTACACCAGCATGCAGCCACAGCTACATGGCCATGCAGAGAGGAGGTGACCGTGTTTAAATTAAATCCCTGGATGCAGCCTCCATTCCCTAACAGGAAAAGAAGCCCTGCAGCAAGAAGGCCCTGTGGCTTCAAACTGCTGAGGCCTATTAATTTCTTTTGCCATCAAGGTGCAAGATTGGCCTGTGGCAGGGATGGGGGTGGTCTGCTTGAAAGAGCTGTGCAGTCTCTTCCATGGTCCCACATTTGCAGCATGTGAGGGCTGTAGCTGAGGACACTCAGCACATGTCAGCCCCAGCATAATCGGGCTGCACAACAACCGAAGGTTCCCCAGTGCAGAGAAACACATTGAGCTTGGGCTGACCATGCAGAAGAAAAGTCAGGGACCACCCCAGCCCTCCCAATCACGCAGGACCCACAGCTCCCAGCTGACTGCCAGACCCATAGTCCTGTGCAGCTGCTGCCAGCTGTGGCCCAACCTGGATTGCTTTCACATTTCCAAGGGCCAGCCAGGCAGTTCTCTGCTGCTCAGGTTGGCTCCTTGCTAAAGCCTGCACCCAAGAGGCTTGGGTCTCAGGGATTTCAGCTCTCCAGAACGACATGTACACACAGTGATGGAAAGGCCAGCAAAGTGGGACACTGACCAATAGTGTGTGGACCACAGCCTCCTCCTACTGTCCTCACTCTCTCTCCCAGGTTTCATACATGTTGCTTTCAGCTTTTGTGTGAGGGAATCAGGTCTGCCATGAAGGCAAACTCCAGCTCCCAGGGCTCTACTAATACTGAAGCTTCCAGCATTAATCCAGGATTTAGATCCTAATGTGTGTGACACACAGAGCTCTGTGGGAGCACAAAGCCGCTGAGCTGACGACCCACGGTGCTTTCAACGGGATCAGCTGATTTCATGCCATCTGACAAGAACGAAGGAAGGACACCAGCACCCTAGCTAGGTCAGGGAAGCTGTGGCCAGGACAGCATGCTCAAGATGCATTTTGTTTCCATGTTGTCCTTTGGCAGGTGGAAAGGATGTGCTTGCAACCCCAGAAACGCATCTCTCCACCACAAGCAGCAGAGAGGGTGGAGGGATCACACATACTAGGATGGTGGCAAATTCCCGTCCCTGTGGTGACAAAAATCCTCTCCCCTCCCTTCTGCCTGGTTAGAGGTACCAGGCCTAGCAGGGATGCAGAGGGAAAGGGAAGGGATTTTAGAGATCAGACAAATATCAGCAGAACATTATGCACAGAGACGCTGATCCCTTGCACCCTTCACCCCCCAGGGAGTGATCTGAATGGAAGGCACTGCTGGAAACCATCCAGCACTGCATCTCTTAAAGGGTAGGAAACAGTAGGATGACAAACTCCAAACAGCACTTTGAGAGGAACGCCTTGGCAGAAGCGGGCAGGGAGGCATGACAGATTCTGTCCCAGTGTCTAACCAAATTAATTCCCAATACAAGCCAGCACCAGGTATCTTGCTGCTGTCCCTGGGGTATCATTCCCACCTGCCTGAGAGCCAAAATCTCCCTGAGCATGCTGAGACAGAGGGGTTGGTTGGCACTAGGCAAGGGACATGCAGACCAGCACTTCACAGACGGCACAAGGATGGGCTTGGCTTGCTGCCATCAGGCAGCAGCAATGAGAGGAGCCTACCTGAATCTTCACAGCGATAAGTATAGAGCTCAGCTCTTTGTCCAGCTCTTTCAGCACCGTGAGTTTCTTCAGGCGCAGACTGCAGAGCCTGTAAGACAGAGAGAATGGGACACATTCAGGCACCACCATCCCTGGGGCCCTGCCACATGGTACACAGTGCTCAGAAGGCAGCCTGGATGCTTGGCCCAGTCGCAGGCACAAGCTTGGCCTAGGAACGCTGGCATTCACACGCCACGGAGACAGCCCATCGGGGAAAAAAGGAAAGAAGGAAAATTAACAGAGCTAAAGCAGGCTTAAGGGATTAGCATGCAACAGGAAGTCCAACAGCAGGCCATGTGGTAAAGAGATCCCTTCCCAAGCAGGGCTGTTGCCAGCTCTGCTTAAATCTACCTTGGCCACAGCACTGTTTATTTATAAACCAAAGCACTTAAATCCACTCTTATCCTGGACTTAATTAAGGCAAATGTTCCCATGCAGACATCACAATTCAGCTCCTCTCTTGCACAGTACCACACAGAGCTGACTTGGGAAGCAACCCCACAAGGAGGCTTCATACAGCTTCAGCCACACTGACAAGCTCAAATCCTGGGGATTCAGCATGGTAAGTGGCACTTCCAGGAAAAAGCTAGGAGGGATCCTGATGCTAAGTGAGAAGAGCTACTTTGCTGCTCAAAGGAGCAGTCACAGTGCCAGTGAGACAGCTAACTACTCAAATCTCCTACCTAGGAACCTGCAGCAGGACTCCCATAGAGACTGCTTGCAAGGAACTCTGTGTCAGGGAGCAAAGCCAAACATGGCTTTACCAGCAGTAAGAGCACACTGATGTTTTGCAAGTTACACTCCACAGCTGCGTTGCTGCAGACTCTGGTTCCCAGGACTTCTGTGGAAATCAGCATGCTGGACCTGAGAGTCAGGCCACCCTCCCAGGACTACAGATTTGGCTACTACCAAATACCTTTCCTGTCTGACACACGGTGCTCTCTGAAGGCTTGCTGGCCTTATTTATTCTTAAAGGGAAAAACCTGCTCTTGCTATGGTGACGTACAGCAGCAGTGTAGAACAATCCCCAAGACAGAATGACAGTAAAAAGGGAAGGACAGAGCCAAACTGCAGGACAGGTTTAGAGCTTAGCAAGCACTCACCTCCTATCATGTCCCTGTCCTCCCTTCTAGAAGACTTTTAGCTTGTGCGGAAGGTTTCCTGGACTGTGACTGCAACCCTGCTGTTCTGCCCTTCAGAAGCTGGGTGTGTGAAGGAAGGGAAGCCCTGCACACTTGTTTGCCAGATGGCTGCCCCCAGAGCACAGACCCTGAGCTCTCGTACTTTGTGCACACCAGCAACAAGTGATCCCATCTCTGTCCACCCTTCCCCTCTGAGCCTCTGCTTGTAGGAAGGGAGAAACTTTATTACCTGAGGCAGGTTTCTTCCTCCCCAGAAATACTTAGGCATGGTTACAAGGTGAGCTGCGGAGAGCACAGCCAAAGACAAAGATGCACCTCTCAGGCAGGGAGGGGGGGGACCGAGTTCTAACTAGAAAAAGGGGTAGAGCAACTCCATCAGATGTACTGAAGGAAAACTTGCAAAGAGGCTAAGCTTAGCTACCACCATTGACCAGTGCTAATTGTGACTGTCGCTAGACAAGCCATGGAGAGAAATGAGGCTTGAACATGTAAGACAAGTACAGCCCATCTACTCAAACTTTCCTTGCAGCACTAATTTAGTCACCTAGTTACCTGCATGGAAAAGTTATCTCTTAAAGACTAAACTTACATAAGGATATTCAGTCTTAATTGGAGGATGTGGAAAAGTTTTAATTCTCCCTAGCAGTTGTTCTCACTGTAGAAGCACACTCCTTATCAAAAACTAATTAATTCATTAGCTCTTCATGCTGCTCTCTGAGGCAGTACCTGGTCTTTTTTCCAGGGGAAGAATGAATGCCTACTGTCAGCTCTGCCACCTGGGCAGCTCTTTGATCTCTAATATGGCACTCTTCTCTTTCTATCCCTCTCCAGCTTTCAAGATCTATTATATACAGTGAGAGACGCTGTAGTCTGCCCTATGTCCTTTCCATAGCACATGCCAGAAGGTGATTCCCTCCTTCCACCCTCTGCTATTCCTCCCTGCAGCACTCAAAGACATAAGGTACTCAAAGATAGAGCTTGCACTTTGCAGCTCCAACCCTTCTCAAAACAGTGCTTTCTAAAATACCACAACCCTTCCCACAGGGATTAACATGCATGTTCTAGAGTCTGAATGTACTTGCAGCACAAGAGCACACAATTTTTAAGCAGCTTGGTTGTCCCTGATGATCCTCTTTTGATCTGTTACTTAACCAATCCCTGCATCACCCAGATTTACATCAGTGCTGAGTGATCAGTGCCAGTCCAGGGCAGGAGAGGGTCTCACACAAATCTCTGCAGATATTTACAGGACAGGATCGATCCACAGTGATCAGATGCTGCTCTGAACATTTCAGCCAAATCCCATGGCAACAACCCCATGGTTTTGTCCAGAACTGATCACAGCGTGATCCCTGAAAATCACTTTTTGGTAGATAAATTATAAATCTGGATTTACTTATTCCTGTAATTAAACGGAACAAGCAGCAACTGTGCTTGAGCTATGGAACTGCTGTAGAGACCTCCACTATACTGAGCTGGGTAAATATGTCTGTGTAACATTCTGATAGCAACAATGACTGACAGCAACAAGGAAAATGAACTCCAACAGGGCAGTCTGACAGCCTCTTGGAACAGTACTCCTACACCACTCTACTGGTCATTTACTGGGGAGAGGTACTCACTGTTCCCTGGTATTATCTTAAAAAATGCTGCCTTCTTTCCCTCACTACATGACAGATTTGGAGCTTTTGCTCTGAAGTTTGATTGAAACATTTATGCTTTCACCAAGCTGGCTGTAGTTATCTTGAAAAAGAAAACTCTTACAACATGCATTTTGTGAAATTCACTGCCAGCAGCAAAGCACTGCCTCCAGCGGTTGTTTGCAAAAGCATCCAATCAAGAGGTCACAGAGAACACACAGCAGCTTATTTTTGTTAAGGAAGCTTTCCTCTCTGGCCATCCAGAACCACAGGTAACTGTACTAATTCTAACAAACTGAATATTTGTTCTCCAAGGGATAGATACTCTGCCGTGAAAAAGATACTCTGCTGATGTGAAGAATCCCCATTCTTTTCATAACCTTCCTGCTGCCTGACACACCCCAAAAACATATTGGAATCCATAGAGATGTTAATTCATTTCTCCTCTTCCCAGAAGATGTTCCAAGGCGACTAATCCTGCTCCCTGTGCGCTTATCCTTGCTAAGAGTTGCTCTGCTTCTACTGCTTTTACCTGGTTCACCAGTGTCCTTACAGATAGGAGGACAAAACATTTGCAAAAAGAACTAGATTTGGGTAATGTAAGAGAATGTTAGTTAAATCAGTCTGTGGTTTACTTGAAATGTGCATCATACAGGTGATATTCTCCATCGGAGAACCATAGTATTGTTAAGGTTGGAAAAGACCTCCAAGATCATCAAACCATTAACAAAGCACAACTATGTTCACCACCAGCTTGTAAACCATGTACGTGAGTGCCTCATCTGCTTGTTTTCTGAATACTTCTAGGGGTGGTGCTTCCATCACTTGATTCCACCACTTCTCCACCCCTTCAATGAAGAACTTTTTCCTAATATCCAACCTAAACCTACACTGGTGCAACATGAGGCTGTTTCCTCTTGTGCTGTCATTTGTTACCTGGGAAAACAGACCAACCCCTAACTCGGTACAACCTCCTTTCAGGGAGCTGTGGAGAGCTATAAGGTCACCTTGAGTCTCCTTTTCTCCACATCAAACAGTCCTGGATCCCTCAAGCACTCCTCATAAACTTAATTCTCTAGACCCTTCACTAAGTCCAGACACACTCCAGCACCTCAGCGTCTTTTGTGTAGTGAGAGGCCCAAAACTGAACACAGTATTCAAAGTGGAGCTTCAAATCATCAGGCAGAGGTGTGAGACCTGCTGAATTCAAGGTGTCACATCCCTTTAAAATGATGTTATCTGCCATTAGGAGGGTCAGCTCATACCTATGTATGTACATGACCAATTGTGGCAATGGAGCTTGGGTTGCATGCTATCTCTACAGTGTTTCCACTGCATGTGGAACATGGACTGTTATGGGATGTCCCAGGACAAAGAAGCAGCTTTCTCCAATATTGTTGCTGCTGCTGACAGTGATTTACTACAGGCTGGTCTTCCAAATGAAACTTAATCAAGTTGAGTGGAATAATGTATGACTGGTTTGTGGTACAGTCACAATTTCTGCATTATCACTCCACTATCTTTACTTCATGTACATACAGATTGGATATATAATGTGGGAGCCCAAGACAAGGAGCAGACACCATTTTATTGCTTTAAAAGCTTGTTCCCTCTCTGAGCCCCATGTGACAAGTTCTGTGTTTTCATTATTGGTTGTCTCTGTCAGAGGCTTAGTCAATTCCCCTAACCCAGGAAACCACAGCCAATGAAATCTCACTATTCTGAAAAATCCTCATATCTGCTTTCTTGAAAGCAGACATGGGAGCTTAATTATGGCCTCTATTCTTCCTGGGTCTATCCTTCCTCAAAATAAATCCTAAACATTTTAACTTTGATACAACTGAAGTCTGGCCAGAGCTGCACTGTGTCCCCATTTTTTTGCCAGAGCAATATAGAGATGTATAGGATCTATTTTATAAGCATTCTTATCACTATTTGTTATACCAAATCATGTGCATATTATCCAAGAACCAATTCACTCAATATATTTATTGCAGTGCAGTAAAAGTGTCAAAATTCTCTATAGACTCAATGGACCTAATCCTCTACCTCCCAGAGACCACAGCAAGAGGACATTAAAGCATTTTCTTTCTACTTCTTTTTTTTTTTTTTCTTTTCAATAACAAAAGGTTGTTTTTTGCTTTCCTTTTCACTGAAGGAGCAATATAAAGCATTATGCAACAATTTCCTGCTTGGGCAGTACTCTTTGCATAACTTCCTCCTTGAAGAAAATGAAAGTGTTCACCAAGTTAAAAAAACTAATATTG